CCTCGTCCTCCTCCTCCTTCCCCCCTCCAACCTGTGGTGGTGGTGGTGGTGGAAAGCAGGCCCATCAGGGGGGGCTCCAGGCCGCCCCTCCTCTCCTCTCCCCGCAGGGCCGCCTGTCGGCTGCGGTGGCGCGGACGTGGTTCGCTCCGTGGCCTTCGGCGGCGGCGAGCGGTCATGGCGCGGCCTCCTGGTCAAGCAGTGGCGAAGCGTCCTGGCTCGCCTGTGGGCCCACCACAGAATGTTCTAAGAACCTGATGTGGTCTGCACGAGATGGTTTCAGGGCATTTACGGCCAGGACTGCTTTGTTTTCACACACCGGGTCTATGTTCTAAGAACATGGGTTTTATAACACATTTTTGGGTTCTACGAAGATTTCGTGGTAGGCCTATAAGAAAGCTGTGACGGTCGGTACCTGCACAACCTGGGCCCTTGCCGGGCCTCGGGACCGTCAAACAACGACTCAGGATGAAGATCTGGTCCCGAGGAAGGGGTCGAAATTTCTGGGGGTCGACGTTATGAACAAATCACGGCGTCGGGGGTCTGGGGATGGGGGGAAGTGAGAAGGAAGTGAGAAGGAGAAGGCCTTCTCAGGCGGCGGGGGGGCTTCTCAGTAGCCCCCACGCCCTCTGAGAGTTGTTCCTGTGCCTTCGGGGAAGGCCTGGAGCACTTCTCGGAAGGCTGGGGGGCTTTCGAGCCTTCTGAGAAGGGCCGCCCCTTCTCACCTCCCCCCTGGGCTCGCCGCCGACTTCGAGCAGATCTGCCCGTCTTAGGAGATGCAACTCCTGGGAGGTTGCCTTCAGCATCTGCGCCGGTATATACGTGGTGAAAAGCCGGCCATATCCGCCATGGCCCTGTTCCGTTAAGTCCAGTCCAGCTTCACCCGGCCCGATCCAGCTTGATTTTGGGATGAATCGGGGCCAATCTGGCTTAAGGTTCCATCAATCTGGCCTGAGATTTGCGACCACGTGCGAGCCCTATCTCTGCGGGCCCAGTCGGCGCCTGGTTATGGGACACCCCGTGCTGGGTTTCACTGGGCCGCAGCCAGCTTTCAATTTCAGACCCCCCGCAGGTTTTTCAAACGTGCGACCTGCAGGAATTAGGAGCGAAAGAAGGACGTACACGTACATGAATCCACGCTGGTTTCGAGAGGGCGCATTGTGCAAATGTCCGTATCACGTGGCCAGACTCGCGGATCGAGGGGCCGTGTTCATGTACATTGCTGGGTGCGTACGTCCTTTCTGGGCTCCTTAGGAATAGTGCCAGGCATACCAAGACTGTGTGAGCCTCGTGTCCAGACAATCCACGCAGACACCGAAGCATCATCTCATGGTATGGGCACCGTGGCTGCTGTTTTGTGGCTCTGCCGCCTGGGACTGATAGGCTATGCAATTTTGTACTGCTTGTTCTGGCCGGGCTTGCACCTCCAACAGGGCCTTACGGCATCCGTCTGTCTCTCTGCGTCTCGTTTACTTCGGGGACCGAGCAGTGACATAAACATACTATTCGGAGGTCCGCGCGGATTTCTCGGATCCGCGCTGGACCCCCCTGGCGGCGCCTCGGGTGCCGCCCCTGGCGCGCTCCGCGCGCCAGGGAGGGGGGTCCAGCGCCGATCCGAGAGATCCGCGCGGACCTCTGAGTTTTTATGATTCTGTCACTGTTCGCCCCCCTAACACAGTCAACCCGCGTTGTAAGGATGGGCTTCCTTCCCAAGGGTAGCCTTGCATCCTTGCCTCCTCGGTCCATCCTTGGGCTACTCTCGTTGGCCACGTCCTGCTCGAGAAGCTTCGAGATGGCCTCCCGAGGCCCTTGCATCCTTACGATACGGGTTGACCGTACTAGCCATTGGCCCTTCCTGCGAAGACCTCACGGAGGGCGCCTCCGAACGCGGCGCCGCTGCGTTCCGCCGAGCAGGCCGGGCGCAGGCGGCCGCCGCCCGTGGCGCGCCGGGGTGCCCGGCGGCGCGTCCTCTCGCCGCAGGGCGGCGGCCCGTGGCCCGTCGCGGGGCAGCGCGTCGAGCAGTGGCGGAGCGTCCTGGCGTGCCGATGGGTCTTCCAGACAATGTGCTGAGAACCTTTTGTGGTCTCCACGAAACTTTTTCGTGGTTCTAGTGTGTGTGTGTATCTCTATATATATATACACACATATTCGCGGCCTTCTGGTCAAGCGGTGGCGAAGCGTCCTCGCTCGACTACAGGCCCACCACAGAGTGTTCTAAGAGCCTGTTGTAGTCTCCACGAGATGTTCTTAGGACATTTCTGGCTGGGGCTGTCTGGTTTTGGCACATCGGGCTCATGTTCTAAGAACGTTGTTTCTGTTCTTGGTTCATGTCTGGGTTCTGAGCACATTTCGTGGTAGGCCTAAAGAAATGCTGGGACGGTCGGTCCCTGCTCAAGCCCGTGCTGCACCTGGCCGGCGCCTCGCGTCTGGGCGGGTTTGCTGGCGATTCGTTCGTCCAGCGCAGATGCAAGAAATCCGCGCCGACCTCCGAATGCTCTCTAGGCCTCCTAGATGGGTTCGGAGTGGCTGGGTTCGTAGGATCGCGCCGCATCGCCGATGCATCGCCGATGCGGCTCGATGTGGGGCCCGATTTGCGTCACGTCGACGTTGCCGATGCGTCGCCGACGTCGACGATGCGTAGCCGGTGCATCCCCGATGCATTGCCGATGCATTGCCGATGCATCTCCGAGACATCGGCGATGCGGCGCGATCCTTCGACCCCATCTATTCGGACCCCATCTAGGAGGCCTCACAGATGATTCTGCCAAATTTCTCGTTCTGCCGTGCCCATGTAGGTCGTTCCAAACGTAGGTGTGTGTGTGTGTGTGTGTGAACTGCGAGCTAACAGTCAGTACGCTTAAGCGGAAGGGACCACGTCAGGTTCGGGAGGAGATTTGGTTTTAGGGCCGTTCCTCAGATCCAGATCGGGAAGCCTCTTTTCTTGGCCAAGGCTCGCCGTGGCCAGAGAAGCCGCTTCGTTCCCTGATTGGCGTTCGTGTTCCTCATGTTAGCACGATGACTGTACCCGACGAGGGTATTTCGCGCCGCGGTGTTGCTGCATTTCAACCTGGGTGCGGGGAGGCTGACATCAGCGGACCTCGAGTGGATCTTGCAGGGGTCCCAGGTCAGGCGCGCTCGGCTGGCGCTTGTATGCCCGCGGGTTGCAAAGGGTCAGAGGGCTGGACAAAGTTGATAGGGCCAGTGTATCAAGTGCTGCTGGTTCATGATGGGTGGTGAGGGGGCGATAATGGCGAGCAATAGGAGGATCAGGGGGAGGCGGAAGCATATGGGGAGGCACACACACATATATATATATATATACACATATATATATATATAGGTATATCTCTCTCTATATATATATATATATATATATCTATAGATGGGGGACAGGAGCATGAGGAGGAGGATGATGAGGAAGAGGAGGGGAAGGAGGAGGAGGAGGAAGAGGAGGAGGAGGAGGAGGACGAGGAGGAGGAGGAAGACTGTGTGTGTGTGGGTGGCAGTGTGTGTGTGTGTGTGTGTGTGTGTGTGTGTGTGTGTGTGTGTGTGTGTGTGTGTGTGTGTGTGTGTGTGTGTGTGTGTGTGTGTGTGTGTGTGTGTGTGTGTGTGTGTGTGTGTGTGTGTGTGTGTGTGTGTGTGTGTGTGTGTGTGTGTGTGTGTGCGTGTGTTCTTTGGGCGTGTGTAATTTAGTTAGAGAGTGGCTGGGGAAGGGAGGCGGAGAGCGCGAGGATACGCTGGCGGAGGCACCAGCCAATTTCAGATATCCACGGGCTCGATTTTTCTCAGGCGCGGCCACCTCCAGACTTCTCGGCCCCATCACCCGGGCAAACCAGGCCTCTTCTAGACGGTCCTGAGGCCCGAAGCTGCACTCCATGAACCGAACACGATGGGCACCCGCGATCTCGATGTTTTGAAGCAGCCAGGTGTTCGATTCACCAGAACTCGGCCCTGGGCTCTCTCTGGTGGTGCGTGTTTGCTAGAGGTCCAGGCAGATCCACTGGCGGCGACGAACAGCCTTTCTGAGGTCAAAGCGAACGACGCACAAACACCGAGACCTTCTATGCTCCTCGGTTTCCTGCTGAGACGCATGAAGTATGGATCGCTTTCCCCCCACATACCTGGCGCTCACTAGACAGTCCTGGGCGTTCGCAGAGCAGACCTGCGCTATTCAATTTCTCCCTGAGGCGCGTTGGCTGACGGGCTTCGCCTGCATGGTGTGATTACGTATTTCTGAGGGTGGTCAGCCGTCGATGGCCCGACAGCCGATGTCTTGCTCTTTCACTACGCTGTCCTTGGAAGTCTAGACCCTCTCCCTGGGGCTGGTTTTTCATTCTGGGTCTTTTTTGACGGGTCCAGGGCTCAGTGAGGGTCCCGAAAGACTGACAATTGAGGAACATGCCGTCTCGTTGTTTTCAAACGCTGGATGTCTGGGGTTGCACCAGCGCTGGCCACCGAACTCTTCTCGGCCAGCGAAGCCCCAGGCACAGATGGGCGCGGGGAGCTCCCGTCAGGCCTCTGGCCTGGCGGAACCCCCCCCAGTGTTCGCTGAGCGTGCGGGTTAGGACGGAGGAGGGAGGAACGCTCTGGGAATAGCAGAGGCGAGTGTTGAGGAGTGAATGGGAGGTGAGCATGAGGAGGGGCGACTGAGACGAGGAGGATGAGGAGGAGGAGGAGGAGGAGGAGAAGGAGGAGGCTAAGGCTACGAGGCTATTGCTAAATCCATGGCCAGCCAACAGACTCTTTCCATGCTAATCGTGCTCACAGATAGTACTCGCCGGGAGGTGGATGTCTGCAGTGGTGGATGGTGGAGATTACATAGGGGTGCACAGTTTTAAGACACCAGCGTACGCCATATTTTGTCAGCCAGCGGCACTTTTTTTGCAGCACAGCCTGCCACATCAACTCTTGGCAACGTTCGACATTGATACTATGCCTGGCATCTTTTATACGATCTGCCTGACTTTGCAAGCATCATGCTGTCTGCGGACGACAGTCCAGCCAATGGCGCCAGCTTGCAAATGGAGAGCACAGGGGGGATCCTTGCTTGGTGTGGGGACTGGGTGGGCGGGCTACACCAGTTTTTTGGGTCAACCTCAAACCCTGGGCTGCAACCCTAAAACTGTTTGTTTGCAGGCCTACCTTGACTTGTCGAGGCGACACTCACGTTACAAGGTATTATCTATCTTATGTTGTTACCATTGCTGTTCTGTCATCTTGCATAGGTGAATGTCGCCACACCTGACGGGCGCTTACTCTGACTAATCGTCTTTACCAGCGCCCTTTCTCTTACATATTCCGCGGCGCCCGCCAGGTCTTTTTTTGACCCGAGTTGTGTTTTTTTCGGTTTCGTTCAAGAACGCCACAATCGTATGATTCATTCCGGATTGGTCAGCGCAAAGAAGAGGAGGGGGGGGTAGGAGGAGTAAGAGGAGGAGGAGGAGGAGGAGGAGGAGGAGGAGGAGGAGGAGGAGGAGGAGGAGGAGGAAGAAGGGGAGGGAGGTGGCAGGAGGAGGGAGGCGGGAGGCGGGAGGAGGGAGGAGGAGGGTGCAGGAAAAGGCCCCCCCCCCCCCCCCCCAGCAGGTCACCTCCGATGTCAGGCTCCTCATGGGCCCCCAGGCCGACCCGGCCGAGGAGGGCACGCCGCGGGCCACCTTCGCCCTCGTCCGCGCTCCCGCTGGTCTTCGCCGCCGCGGCCGCCGACGTCGCTGCCGCCGACGACGCCGACGACGCTGACGATGGCGCCGCCGCCGCCGCCGCCGCCGCCGACGTGACGACGACGACGACGACGACGACGACGACGACGACGACGACGACGACGGCGGCGGCGGCGGCGGCGGCGGCGGCGGCGGCGGCGAGTGCGGCGGCGGCGGCGGCAGCGACCTCGACGGCGACGGCATCGACCTCGACGGCGACGGCGCCGACGACGTCGAAGTTTTCGGACGGAGGCGCATCCTCGTTTCGGTCTACTCTCCAGCAGCCGCAGCTCGGCGAGAGCGTTCCAGGGGTGCCCGAGCCGTCCCGAGCGGCCGCCGGAGCGCTCCTGCCTCCCACCAGCGTCCCCTCCTCCCAACCAGCCTTCCTGGCCTCTGCCCCCCCACCTCCCTCGACCCCTGCCTCCCTCGAGCCTCCCTCCAGCTTCCCCTGCTCTCCTCTCTTGCCCCCCCCCCCGCCTGCTTCCCTTATGTCGGGCACGCCCCTCTACAGGCGGATTTTGGACGAAAAATCAAGAATATCTAGAACATATTCAAAATATCGTCCCCTATATATATATATATATATATATATACAAGACTGCAGTGGCGCTTCGCGCCATGCACCTTGGTCCTTGAAGTTTGGTATGCAGGCGGCATGGCAGGAAGGTCAAGCCGACAATTTAGCGATAACTCCTGGTTGCATTTCCCGGCACCGCCGCCATAATGATGTTATTCGTTATCCTTCCTCCATGCTTATTGTTCCTTATTTTCGCCATACGCTGCGCATTCTCCCCATCCTCCTCAGCTCTTTTTTGCTGAGGCTCCTCCTTGGAGAGCCTCTAGGGGGCTCTCAAAAGTTGTTTCGGGTTTTCTTAAGGCCTTCTGGAGGCCTCCTGGGCGCATTCTGGGGGCCTCCGTGGGCTTCCTCGGGCCACCCTGCCTCCAACCGCCGTCTCCCTGAACGACCGGATCACGATTTGGAATTCTTCGGAGGGTGTCTTTGGGCCATCTTGGGCCGCCATGGGGCTCTCTGAGGGCCATCTTGGACCCGTGTTGTGCCGTTTTGGGGCTCTCTTGGGCTGCCTGGAAGCCTTTTCGGATGGTTGTGGGGCGATTTGGGAGCCTCCCAGGCGGCTTCGGACGCCCAGAAGACCGCCGTCTTGGAGCGTCGGGAAGCCGAAAAGAGGAGAACCCCAAAATTCACAAAAACGCATAGGAAATCAATGATTTTTGCCTCGGGGGGCCTTCTTGGGAGTGCTCTTGGAGGCCTCTTTGGGGCCGTCCTGGAGGCCTCTTGGGCCATCTTGAGGTCACGTCGGTCACTCTTGGAGCGCTCTTGTGCTGTCTTGGGGGTCTCTGGGACGTCTCCGATGACCCCCCTGATCGCCCTAAGTGTGCTGGGAAGGCTTGGCAAAACGCCTTGCGAGGCCCGGTGGCCGCTTCGAGGCCCGTCCGGAGGGCCCCAAAGCCCCAGGTCCCGGGAGTCCGGTTTTGGGGGGGGGATGGGTTTCCCCCCCGCCCGGGCTTATAAACAATATAGGAAGAGGGAATACATATATATATATATATATATATTATATATGTATATATATACAAATATATGTATGTATGTATGTATGTATGTATGTATGTATGTATGTATGTATGTATGTATGTATGTATGTATGTATGTATGTATGTATGTATGTATGTATGTATGTATGTGTATATATATATATATATGTATGATATGTATGTATGTAATGTATGCATGCATGCATGCATGCATGCATGCATGCATGCATGCATGCATGCATGCATGTATGTATGTATGTATGTATGTATGCATGTTTATATTTATATGTGTATGTTTATATGTATCCAGGCATATTTATATATACATATCTACATATCTATACATATATAGAGGGATAAAACATACATTTATATTTGTGTGAGAGGCAATTTGTGATTTTTCATTCTGGAGAGGGACAGGCCCGACTTGACGCTTCCCCTGCCCTCCTCTCTCGGCCCCCCCCCCGCGCGCGCTGCCGGCAGGAGAGCCCGCGCGGGGGCGGCGCGCTCAGCGCCGCGGCCGTGCGGCGGAGGCGCGCGGGGGGGGCGGGCGGGCGGGCGGGCGGGCGGGGGCGGCCCTCCGCGCGGCCGCTGGCCGCTCTGCGCGAACGAGACGGGTGCGGAAAGACTGGGTACAGTGCCCAACAGGAGTTCCTGTCCATGTTGAGCAGGGCTCGCTGCCCGCGCCGCCGCGGCCCGTGCCCAGTTGAAGCAGAAGGCCGCCCTCCCAGCAGCGGCCGCTGCTGGTTTGGGGCGACATTTGTTGCCGAGCGCTGTGCCCATTTGTTCTGCACCGCTTTCGGGCGTCCGAAGCCCGCCCTCGGCTTGGCAGGGGAGCCGGGCCTCCCGGAGGTCCTCGGGCTGGCGCTCCTGCTCCGAAGGCGGGCCTGTCCCTCTGCAGGGGGGATCTTCGAACATGGTTTAAGACACAGGGGGCCGATGTTTCGACCTTTTTTGGATCATTCTGATTTGTTTTGTTTGGGGTATTTCTCATCTTTCGCCCCAAATCCCCCTGCAGGGAGACAGGCCCGACCTAATCCGACTCCCGGCAGGCGATCCTTCTCGCCGGGGGGGGGGGGGGGGGCCAGCGCAGATCCAAGAAATCCGCGCGGAGCGCCAAAAGTTAAGTTTATGCTTATGGCGTTCTTTCTTCTCCCCCAGCCCCCGACTTCTCGACTACAAATGAAAAGCCGCCCAGAAGAAGAGGGAAACACTGGGATGCCCCCTCTGGGGGCTCTCCGGACGCAGCCCCAGCGAGGGTGGACGCCCCCCCTATCGTATATCGCAGGGCTGGCGCCAACATTTTGGGTCCAGTCGAAAACTCCCCAAGGCCTGGGATGGGGGTCGGCGTATCCCCTGCGGCCTGCTGGCAGGCGATGCTTTTGCCCTCGATCCCGGAGCTGCGCTTGAAAAGTTTGGCCGCCTAGACATGATTAGCGAGCGAAGAACGGCGTAACATGAACTTGCCCGTCGCCCGGGGCGCTGTCCCAGGGCGGCTGGGAAGTTGATGCCTTGACGTGCCACCGTAAGAGTATAAACCTTCTAGCCGCCCCGGGACAGGCGCCCCCGACTGCGAGAACGTTGTTTTTATACCGCCCTTCGCCTGCCAACATGGCCCTCACCACCCACCCAACCACCCCAACCCAAGGTCCCGAAGGCCTCACTCTGCCCTCCCTTTCCAGTGGTGGTGGGGGGGGGGGGGGGGTCGGGGAACATCGAGAAAACACGGATGCAGCCCCTACCCCCCCCCCCAACCCGAACCTTCGGGTCTCCAGGTTGGGTTGGGGTGGTCTGCTGGGCTTGGGCGCCCCCAAACCGGGTGGTGAGATACCAGGTGGCGACCTGGAATCCCCAAAAAGGTCACCGCTGGGTTTGGGGACGCGGGGTCACCACCGGGTTTTGTGACTCCTGGACCCACCAGTGTCCGGGACATCCTCGGAGAACCGTACGAGTCCCCAAACCGGGCGGTGACGCCAAGTCGCCCGAGACTCACCGGGACAACCAATGGGACATGTACATGAATCCACGCTGGTTTCGAGAGCACGCATTGCACAAATGTTCGTATAACGCGGCCGGTCTCGCGAATCGAGGGGCCGTGTTCATGTACATAGCTGGGCGCGTACGTCCTTTGTGGGCTCCCTATGCTGGGCAGTCAGGCCCCGGCGGAGGGCCGCGGCCGCCCGCCGTCGTGCGCGGCACCGCCGGGGGCAAAGAAGGGCGGGGCGGTCGGGGGGCCGCGCCGCCCCTCCGCGGAGGGCCGCGGGCGCCGCGGCACTGGACGGGCCGCGCGAAGGGGGCGTGCCGACCGCGGGGCGGGCGCCGCCCGGCCGGCGGTGGGGAGGCGTGCTGTTCAGGTCGGGCGTGTCCCCCCGTGCGACGCGTAATACAGCGTTCGTGGCGGAGGGGGCAGTGGGCGGGGGCCCCGCTGGGGCGCTGGGGACGCGGTGGGGCTTGGGGCAGAGAGCCACGGCGCGGGGGTCCCACACTGGCGCTGGGGACGCGGGGGGGGCGGGGAGGTGCGACGCGGGATAAAGCGTTCGTGGCGGAGGGGGCAGTGGGCGGCCCCCCCCACAGGAGGACTGTCCAGAAGTAGTCTACAGCAAATAGGGGGGGCGACGGTTCCAACACGCTTTGAATATCTATAGGCGATCTTTTGGGGCATTTGTGGTTGCTCGTCCAAGTCCCGCCTGTAGGGGGACATGCCCGGCCGTAGCGGATGTCGGGGGTGGGCAGAACCCCCGTTCTGACACGTCGATTCGTGGATTGTCCGTTTTCGGTTCTCGAGGGGGCGCCGCGGCCATCATCTTCCAGGCCTGCGCCCGCCAGGTCTGGGCCCGAGGTCGCTTTCACGAAACCACCTTCTGCTAAAGGGGGCTCTGTCCATCCCCGAGTATGCGACGACTGCTGGTGTGAGATTCGGTGGAGCTCCTTGATCTTGGCATCGCTCGGACGCGTGTATCTTTTTCTCTGGCTAGGACCGCCGAGGAGCATTTTGGGGCACCTTGCGACAAGCACGCGCGCGCGAAGCCGACCCGTGCACGAGGCATGGACGTGCGAGCCAGGGCGAGCTGTGGGGCCACGAAACGCCCCGCCGCGCGCAGAGGGGGGCTGGGCGGAGGGCTCCTGAGAAGCACCCCTGCTCCTCAGCAGGCGCGGGCCTTCTCTGCAGACGTAGGGCCGCGCAGGCGCCGGGGGGCAGCACGGCGGCAGGCGGGGGCCTCCGGCACCGCTGCCTGTGGCGTGCCCCCTGCACGCTGGACCGGCAGAGGGGGGGGGGGGTTCTCTCCGGCCGCGCGCAGAGGGGGGGCAGGGCGGGGGGGAGGGGGGGCGGCCTCCTGGAAGCGCCCCTGCTTCTTGGGAGGCGCGGGCCTCGCCTGCAGACGTGGGGCCCCGGCGCCGTGCAAGAAGAGGCCGCCCGCTTCTCGGGTTGCCTTCCCCCCTCCCCCGACCCCCCCGGGGTGCGCGCAGCCACTCTCTGGGCCTCCGAGAGGCGGGGTCGGAGGGTGGCGCCCCCTCGCCGATGCGTCGGCGCTGCGGCTCGGTGGGGCCCGCGGTTCCTCACGCCGGCGTCGCCGATGCACCGCCGACGTCGCTGAGGCATCGGCGATGCGGCGCGATACTCTGTAAGAACGGTTTTTTGAAGGCAGATCTGCCTTCAAAAAACCGTTCTACGGTTTTTTGAAGGCAGATTTGCCTTCAAAAAACCGTTCTTACAGAGTAGACCAGTCTTTCCTTTTTGAAGGCAGATCTGCCTTCAAAAAACCGTTCTTACAGAGTAGACCGGCCCACCTGTTCGGGCCACATCGGGGAGACCTCTAGACAGGGGGAGGGGTGGGGGCGAGAGAGGCGGGCGCGATCGAAGAACATCCCATGGATCCTGCCGTCTCGTCTTTTTCGAGCGGGGCGTCTTCGCCAGGCTTCGGGCCCCAGGACCCTCACGAATCGATCCGGCTCGAAAGCTGCAGCAGACAGGACGGGGCCCAGGGGCTCTGGTCGTGATTTGATGCTTTACGGAGCTTCATTCTTCTGCACGCCATGGGATCTCAGGGAACGGCATGTACATGAACGTTCGGAGGGCCGCGCGGAGATCTTGGATCGGCGCTGGGCCCCTTGCCCTCAGCGCGTGGGGCGTGCCAGGTCCTCCCGAACAAACAGTATACTATACCCAAGAAGCCCAGGTGGCGTGCGAGAGCCCTGATCGTGGGTCTGGTATACAACATTCTCTCCCTGGGGCGTGGCTTCTGTCTTCTGAAGGTGGCCCCGAGCGGTGGAATCTGACTGGGGCGGGGAGGGTGTGGTATACAGTGGAGGCCCATGCCAAGAAACACCCTGCTCGCCCCAGGGTGCCCTGGGTTTGCTGGTTTTCGATGGTCTTGCTGTGGGAAGTGTGATGAACCCACACCAAAAGACCATGGACGCCCTGGGGTCTCAGGTTTGGGTTTATTGTGGAATGTTTCCTGTGGTCGGGCCCTCACTGCATACAAACAAAATCTTGAGGACCAGGGGCGCCTCCTCCCTCCTCCTCCCTCCCTCCTCCCTCCTCCCTCCTCCCCTCCCTTCTCCTCCCTCCTCCCTCCCCCTGTTATTCTTGGACCCTCCCTTTCCTCCCTCACTTTTCCCGTTCTCCCCGCACCCTCCTCTCCTCTCCCTTCTCATGCGGCATCCCTCGGCGGCCCCTCTCTCCCTCGTGGAGTGCCTTTTTTGTACTACTCCTTCTCCTCCCTTTTCGCTGCTCCTCCTCCTTCTCCGTCGCATCTCCTTCTTTTTGCCCTGTCTCTCCTCCTCCATCATCCCATCCTTGATTCCTCATCCTCCCCTCCCGCTCCTGTCTCCTCCCCCCCTCCCTCCTCCCTCCCTCCCTCTTCGCCCTCTCGCGCCCCTGCTGTTCCACCGCCCCGTTCTTCTCTAGTTCGCCCCCCTCCCCTTCTCTCGTCATCCTCCCCTGTCCTCCTACTCCTCCCTCGTCGCCCGCATCTGTGTCCGGCCTCTCGCCCTCTTCGCCGCCCTCCGGCCCTTCCCCGGGCATCCGACGCCTCGATCACGCAGTGTGGCCGTTCGTGCCGCGGCTTTGCCCGGCGGTCCCGGGCCCTGGCAGGGGCCCCCGGAGCACGACGACGGCCAACGGTCAGGAGGGAGAAAAACACAGACACAATTAATCGGCGATTCCCCAGGAAATATGGGAAAATATGGGAAGTGGGGGGGAAGACAGAAACCCAGAAAACATGAGAAAATAGGGGGAACAGTTTTATTTGTGTGTATTCATTTGTTTGTCCTGGGGCCCCTTCAAACGGGCCCACGGCCTCCCGCCGCGGTTCTCTCCCGCGGCCGCGGGGCGCCGCGGGGCCCCTCCCGCCGCGGCCCTCTCCCCCCGCCGCCCTCCCCCCGCGCCCCGCCCGCAGGCTGCACCACAGCAGGGGGCTGCCGTACGGGCTGCTCAGCGACCTCCTGGACTGCCCGCGCGGGGGTCGCCCGTCGCTCGGCGGCGGGCCCAGGGGGGAAATGAGAAGGAGTAGGCCTTCTCAGAAGGCCGCGGGACTTCTCAGAAGTCCCGGGGGACTTCTGAGAGGTCTCTTTAGCCTGTTTCGAATACGGACTGAACTTCTCAGAAGCCCTCTCAGAAGTCCGGAAACTTCTCAGAAGCCTCGGAGGTCCCGGCCCTTCTCATTTCCCCCCCGCGCCCGCCGCCGAGTCGCAGGTGATCCTTTCTTGATTCACTGTTTTGCCGATCGGCGCGGGCCCTCGCACCCCCCCTCTCTCCCCCCTCTCCTGCCCCCTGGAGCGGCTCTTGGCTGTTTTCTGGCGCCCCTTTCGAGCAGGCAGAGGCTCCCCCCCAAGGGACGCACTGCTCCAAACAGGCGCGCTAAGCAGAGGGCAGAGGTCCGGAGCCAGACCTCCTGCCTCCCCTCCCCTTGCCGCCCAGTGTCGAGACGTCGACTAAAAGAAAAATGCTCACCAGAGACACCTGGGGCGCAGCGGGAGGGAGGGGATGGGGAGAGGAGCCGAGGAGAAGGCAGGCGCGGGTGGAGGGATGAACTCGACGCCAATCTCGATGGAGAGGCGACGCCAGCGCTGGGATGGCACCTGCAGTGGCGAGGTGCGGATGTCGCGGAATGCCCCTCTCGGAGGCGGTGTTGCAACCGAGTCAAACATGGATTGAGCATCATTTGAGCTACAGTCGGGGCGCTGAAGAAGGAACCCTATTCGTTGGGGAGGGGCTCCGCGTTCCTTAAGTGTTTCACAGCTTGCCTCAGGTTTTCCTGATGTTTCCGATCGGAAATCGAAGTTTAACTTATGGAAAGAAGGGGCCTCGTTCCTTATTTAGGGTTCCTTGGGTCAACGCCCCGACTCTAGCCCAGCTGCCCCTGGCAATTCCGCCACTGCCGCGCCAGAGCATCGTTCTGGGTGGCGGCAGCAGCGAGGCGCCACTGCTGCCCGGGGGGCTCCGGGGAGGAGGGGCGAGGCACGCAGCGGGGCGCGATGAGGGGAGGGTTCAGGCGGGCCTGTCCCTGTACAGGAGGACCTGTAGTCAACACGCAGTCTGGAGCCTATCTTTTGAGTATTCAAGTTTTTTTGGTTTAAAACAAAACACAAAAAAACAACACATTGTTCGTCCAAAATCCCCCTGTAGGAGGACATGCCCGACCTAAGAGGGGGTGGGGGCCCGGAAGAGACTGCAGGGCGCCCTGCTGGACAGCGCTCGGCACGATGCCGCGCCTCCGCCTGCCCGGGTGGCGGGGACTGGGGGGGACCGTCCCCGGGCGCCCGCGCGTCTGGGGCAAGAAGACCTCCGCGTGCCGCCTCGTACTCGCCCTCGTCCTCTTCGGCCTCGTCCTCGTGCTCCTCTCCCTCCTCGCTGTCCTCCTGTTCCTCCTCGCTGTCCTCGCGTGCGCCGCTGCGTCCGCGTCGGCGGCTCCTCGCTGTCCTCGCCTTCCTTTTTCTCCTCCGCCCAAGCAGCCCATCAGACTAAAGCGGCGCTTCCCGTTCTTGTCCGACCAGTTTTCGGGGGGTTGTCCCTGGACGCCCTCGCGCCGGGGAAATTATTATTAATAATAATAATATCAATAAAAATAGTAATAGCAACACTAATAACAATAATAATAATAGTCATAACAATAATAATAGTAGTAAGAAGACTGAGAAGACAAATAATGATAGTATTAAGCAGAATGACAACATTGCTAACAATAAGAAGAGACAAAGTAAGACTAGTACTAATACTGAGAAGACGCAATACCACGGCCTGGGGCCACCCCGTCCCTGGAAAGGGGCTCTGGACTCTCCGGACCTTTGGAGAGCCGCGCCGCGACATCGGCTACGACGTCGGACTGGAGGGTTTCTCCGAAGGGCTGATGCGACCCGTCCTCCTCCGTCCCCGCCTCTCCTCCGCTTCCTCCTCCTCCTCCTCCTCCTCCCTCTCCTCCTCCTCCTCCTCCTCCTCCTCCTCCTCCTCCTCCTCCTCCTCCTCCTCCTCCTCCTCCTCCCTCTTCTCTCCTCTCTCTCCTCCTCCTCCTCCTCCTCCTCCTCCTCCTCCTCCTCCTCCTCCTCCTCCTCCTCCTCCTCCTCCTCCTCCTCCTCCTCCTCCTCCTCCTCCTCCCTCTCCTCCATCTTCTCGCTCGCTCGAGATTTTCTCGTAATTTAGGAAAGCTGGTGGAGGCCCAGACACGGCGACAAGGGTTCCCGTTCGATATTTCTCAATAGGTATTCCGAGATCCCTTGGCCTGGCCAGAGAAGCCCCCGAACTCAGGAACGGCGTTCTCGCTCGAGAGATTCTTGCACGGCAGTCAATGGCCGACAAGGAAGCTATTCCCCTCGAAAGAGAGTGCGATCGAAGACGAAGTTTGCGGGTATCGAGGGTTGGGGTACATAGCATGCAAACTGCGTGTGCCAGAGAGTGCGAGCAGTCTTAAAATGATCGTCGTCGTTGTCGTCGTTGTCGCTGTCGCCGCCGCCGTTGTCGCCGTCGTCGTCGTCGCCGTCGTCGTCGTCCTCGTCGTCGTCCTCTTCGTCGTCCTCGTCCTCGTCCTCGTCCGAGCTCACAGGCATCGGAGGGCTTCTTAACCTCTTCAGAGGCGGCCGTCGTCGTCGTCGTCGTCCTCGCCCTCGTAATCGTCGTCGTTGTCGTTGTCGCTGTCGTCGTCGTTTTCGCCGAGGGCCTCGAAGAGAGCCCGCAGGCGTCTCTCCGGAGGCCCCGGGAACTCTCCCGAGGCCTTCGAAGACCTCTGGAGACCTTCAGAGGCGGCCGTCGTCGTCGTCGTCGTCGTCGTCGTCGTCGCGGCCGTCGCTGTCGTCGTCGCCGTCGTCTCCACGGGCCTCGAAGGGCCCCAGACGCTTTCAGAGTGCCCGGGAGACCTCCTGAGGCTTTTGGAGACCTTCAGAGGCGGCCGTCGTGCTCGTCCCGGTCGTTGTCTTAGCCCATGTCTGCGTCTTCGTCCTCGTATTTGTCCTCGTCGTCGTCGTCGTCGTCCTCGTCGTTGTCGTCGTCATTGTCATCGTCCTCGTCGTCGTCCTTGCCCTCGTTCTCGTCGTCGTCGTCGTCGTTGTTGTCTTCGTAGTCGTCGTCTTCGTCGTCGTCGTCGTCGTTCCCGTCCCCGTCCTCGTCCTCGTCCTCGTCCTCAACGTCTTCTTCGTCGTCTCCGAGGTCGTCGAAGGGCCTGCAGAGGCCTCTGGAGACCTCCAGAGGCCTCAGGAGACCTCTGGGGACCTTAAGTCGCGGCTGTCGTCGCCGTCGTCGTCGTCGTCGTCGTCGTCGCCGGCGCCGTCGCCGTCGCCGTCGCCGTCGCCGTCGCCGACGCCGTCGTCTGCGTGCTCGTCGTCGTCGTCGTCCTCGTTCTCGTCACCGTTATCGTCTTAGTCTTCGTCCTCGTCCTCGTCGTCGTCGTCGTCTTCGTCCCTGCCGCGGCCGCCGCCGCTGCCGCCGCCGCCGCCGTCGTCATGTCGTCGTTTTCGTCGTCGTCGTCGTCGTCGCCGTCGTCGTCGTCGTCGTCGTCGTCCAGCGCTCAGGCCTCCCCCTTGCGGTGCCCGCCCACGTTGCAGTTACCCGCCCATGGGGGCCCGACCACCCCCACCCGTGTCGGACGTTACGGGGGGGAGTGTGAACCATTATCCTTCTTATTCCGCGTCGCAGGGTTAGGAGGAGGAGGAGGAGGAGGAGGAGGAGCCCGAGGAGGAGGAGGAGGAGGAGGAGGAGCACTGAGGATGAGGAGGAGGAGGAGGACGTGGATTCCGGAGCAGTGAGAACGCAGGGGGGCGAGCGCCCCATGGACCCGCCAGTCAGGCGGGGGTTCTGTTTGGAGACGTGCAGGGAAGCGAAGGCTTCGGTACAGGATCAGCGTGATGGTGATGGCGGTGGTGATGACGACGACGATGACGATGTTGATGACGATGCTGATGACAATCATGATGAGGATGATGATGATGATGAGGATGATGATGAGGATGATTATGAGGATGATGATGAAGATGGTAATGGTGATGATGATGGTGATGATGATGTTGATGATGATGATTATGATGATGGTGATGTTGATGGTGATGCTGATGATGGTGATGATGGTGATGATGGTGATGGTGATGATTATGATGATTATGATGCTGATGATGCTGATGATGATTATGATGATGACGCTGCTGCTGCTGCTGATGATGTTGATGATGATGATGATGCTGATGATGATGATGATGATGATGGTGATGATGATGATGATGATGATGATGATGATGTTGTTCATGATGATGATGATGATGATGATGATGATGATGATGATGATGATGATGATGATGACGATGATGATGATGATGATGATGATAGTGGTGGTGGTGGTGGTGATGGTGGTGGTGGTGGTGGTGATGGTGATGCTGATTATGATGGTGATGGTGATGGTGATGCTGATGGTGATGGTGATGGTGATGGTGATGATGGTGATAGTGAAGACAATGCGGAGGATGTGGAGGAGGAAGGATGAGAGGAGGATGAGGGTGATGATGTACGCGGGCACTGGCAGCAGCAGAAAGCAGAGAAGGCCCCAGGAGGGAGAATGGTCTAAGAGGGCGTTGCGAACAGGACGCTGTGCCGCAGCTGGCGGTGCCCCCGCCGAGGCCATTTGCCCCAGCTCGCACCCAGCCGATGGGGGTTAGTCTGCAGGAGTGACGGCTGATGACGAGGAGGAACATAATTGTAGTAGCACCTCGAAGTTGCGGATAAGAATGATGGAGGCGGGCGCGGGTGGGTCGCGGGTGGGTCGTTGGGCGGGTCGCGGGTGGGTGGCGGGGCGGGTCGCGGGTGGGTCGCGGGGTTGGTCGCGGGGCGGGTCGCGGGTCGGTCGTGGAGCGGGTCATCGGTGCGACGATAAAGCAACAACAAGCAGAACACGTGCCGCGGAATTCCAACTCAGCCACCCACCCAGGACAGTGGATGACCGTTCGGCCCCCTCACGCTGAAGAAGTGTTGACAGGGAGGAGACCAGAACAGGAGTGAGGAGACGGGAGGAGGAGGAGGAGGAGGAGGAGGAGGAGGAAGGAGATCAGGGGGATGGAGGAGCTGCTCGGGAAGGGTGGTAGGGTTCAGGCGTCCTCTTTCGGTTGCGTGGCGATCTCAGGAACAATTTTTGTTGGCCAGTCTTGCTTTGCGCGTGCTTGGCCTTGTCGAGTTTTGAAGATCCCCGGTGGCTGCGGGGCCTGCTCTGGGCGGCCCTCCCCGGGCTCCTGCTGGGTCTTGGTCCCTGGGTTCTTCGGTCTCGGCTGCCCCTCCTCGGGTTCCTGGGTTCCTTGGCTCCTGCGTCCTGGTTTCCTGGCTCCCTGGTCTGGGCGCCCTGGCCCTCCGGTTCTGGTTCTGTGGTTCTTCGGTCTTGGTTCTTTGGTTCCCTGGTCTTGGCTCCGTGGCCCCTTGGCCTTGGTTCCTTGGTTCCGTCGTCTTGGTTCCTGGGTTCCTTGTCGTGGTTTCTTGGCTCCTTGGTCTTGGTGCCTTGGGCCTTTGGTTCTTGTTCCGTGGGTCTTTGGTCTTGGTTCCTTGGTTTATTGGTCTTGGCTCCTTTGTCTTGGCTCCTTGGTCATTGGTTTCTTATTTTCTCGGTCTTGTTTCATTCGCTACTTGGTCTTGGTTCCTTGCTTTCTCGCCACTTAGTGCCAAGCAATGCCAAGCAATGCCGCACAATGGAAAGACGTGCCAAGCAATGCCAAGCAGTTCGGAGCAATGCCACGCAATGTCATCATCACTGCCAAGCATCGCCAATTAAGGCCAAGCAAGATGCCAAGCTATATGCCAAACAGCATGCCAAGCAATTTGCCAAGCAATATGCCAAACAACATGCCAAGCAATATGCCAAGCACAATGTCAAGCAATGCCAAGCCATGCGGCCATGCAGTAGGAAGCTTTCACCATGTTGGAGTCGCACCGGGTTCATCTTAACGCGCGTCCAGCAGGAGCGGGGGGATGAGGGTGCATAGTGTTGCATACGAGAGCGTGGCCAGATGTGAGATGAGTGTACGTAATTGTCAGCAAAATGCAGTGGAGGGAGATGAGGATCATTGGGTGAGGCAAGGGCGGATTTAAAGGGGGGGCAGATGTGGCA